TTGATCAGAGGATGGAGATGCTGGGAGACTCGTCTTCAGGCGGGTTTCATTCATCTGCCAACACCGTCTACAGAGGCCGCGGCCAGTACCGTGGCAGATCCCGTGGGCAAGGAGGAAGAGGGCGCGGCCGCGGTGACCGCGGTGACCGCGGTGACCGCCAGCCTTCTCCTGCATATAGAGGCGGCGGATTCAGAGGACGCCCTCGACAGCAACAGCAACAGCAGGTACGCGAGCAGCAGCATGACTATCCTGAGTGCCAGATATGCTATAGACATCATCCAGGAGGTGCACGTGTCTGCTGGTGGCGCTATGAAGAGAATGATCAAGAAGAGAAGGAGGCGCATGCTGTCTCCTATGGCGTGGACACTAATTGATACGCAGACAGTGCAGCAACAAATCACATCACTGGTGAACTTGACAAGCTGACAGTACGGGAGAAGTACAACGGAGGCGACCAAATTCGCACGGCAAGCGGTTCTGGTATGAATATCACCACATTGGTAGTTCAATTGTTCAAAACCCCATGAAAAATTTGCACCTTAAAGATGTCTTGCATGTTCCTCAAACTTCCAAAAATCTTGTTTCTGTTCATCGATTCACCCTTGATAATAATGTTCTTATAGAATTCTATCCTTACTTTTTCTTGGTTAAGGATTTGAGTACAAGGAGAATCATTCTTAGAGGACGGTGCGTGGGAGGCCTCTATCCACTCATATCATCATCATCATCTTCGTGGTCCAATAAACAAGCAAATATTGTCACCAAGCCATCATCATCAAGGTGGCATAGTCGATTAGGTCATCCATCTTCAGTCATAGTTAAATATGTTCTTAGCAAAAATAAACTCTCTTATGAGAATAGTGTTGAGTCAGTTTGTGATCCGTGTCAACAAGCAAAAAGTCATCAATTACCCTATCCCATCTCTACTAGTGTGTCTACTGCTCCTCTACAACTTATATTTTCAGATGTATGGGGGCCAGCCCCTACTTCAATTGGGAGATTTTCTTACTATGTAAGCTTTATTGATGACTATAGTAAATTTACTTGGATTTACTTGTTAAAGAAACGGTCTGATGTATTCCAAGTCTTCATCAATTTTCAAAACCTTGTTGAACGCAAACTGAACTCCAAGATCATTGCTATGCAAAGTGACTGGGGTGGTGAGTATGAAAAATTGAACTTTTTCTTCCAAAAACTTGGTATTTCACATCATGTTTCTTGCCCTCATGCTCGCCAACAAACGGGTCTGCTGAAAGAAAGCACCGTCACATAGTTGATATGGGGCTAGCATTGCTGGCAAATGCATCCATGCCACTCAAATTCTGGGATGAAGCATTCTTAACCACTACATATCTTATCAATTTGCTTCCTAGTAAAGTCATCAAATTTGAAACACCCATTACACGACTCCTCGGTGTCACACCCAACTACACATCTCTTCATGTTTTTGGTTGTGCATGTTGGCCCAACCTCAGACCCTACAACACACGCAAACTCGCTTTTCGCTCCAAAAAGTGTGTCTTCTTAGGCTATAGTCCCATGCATAAAGGAGTTAAATGTCTAGATATTCCTACTGGTAGGGTCTACATATCTAGAGATGTAGTTTTTGACGAGTCTGTGTTCCCTTTTGCTTCCCTTCAACCCAATGCTGGTGCACTTCTCCGCAAGGAAATCCTTCTTCTTCCTCCACATCTTCGGTCTTTTGATCATGGGGGCGACAGTTGTACTAACCAAAGTGATGATATTCCTGCTGGTATTGGTTCTTCTCTGTTGCCTGTGCAGGTCCCTGGTGAAAACGGCGCTCAAAATGATCAAAATTTCGAAAATCAAACTCAAGATCATCTTATATTTCATGCTGAGGAAGGAAACTCCTGTTCGCGCGCAGATCTCGGATCCCGCGGCCAAATCAGCCTCGGATCACGCTCCCACCAACCGCAGCGCTGATTCAGCAGCAGGCGGGACCAGCCGCGGGGTCGGCTGCGGGGCCGAATCCGCCTCGCCCAGCATGCGCCACTCCCACGCCGCCACCTCAGCAGCAGGCGGGACCAGCCGTGGGGCCGAATCTCCCTCGCCCAGCGTGCGGGCCGAATCTCCCTCGCCCAGCGTGCGCCTGCAATCGCGGTCGGGCGGTCGATCCGTTGTGCCGGCTTGGGCGGCTGGCACCCGTGTGGTGGACACACAGGCGGCCACACCAACGGCTATAGGATCCTCTGTGCAGGTGGCGCCAGATTCGCCTGTGTCATCACATGCAGCTTCCTCGGGATCTTCTGCGGCGAGTGCTCCTGTGGTCCAGCCAGCAGTTCCTTCACGAGTTATGACTCGATTACAGAAAGGTATACGAAATCCTAAAATAAGAAAAGATGGGACTATACCATATGGAATGTTGTGTATTTCAGGAGAACCAACAACATTGAATAGTGCACTTGATGATCCTAAGTGGAAGAAGGCAATGGATGAGGAATATTCTGCACTTATGAGGAACAAGACATGGCATCTTGTGCCAAATCAGAAAGGTAAAAATATCATCGATTGCAAATGGGTTTACAGAATTAAAAAGAAGGCAGATGGCTCCATTGACAGGTACAAAGCACGTATCGTTGCAAAGGGTTTTAAACAACATTATGGTATTGATTATGAGGACACTTTCAGTCCCGTTGTTAAAGCTGCGACTATCAGACTTGTGCTAGCCATTGCTGTATCCAAGGGTTGGAGTCTACGACAGCTAGATGTACAGAATGCGTTTTTGCATGGCATTCTAGAAGAGGAAGTGTTTATGAGACAACCACCTGGTTATGAGGACAAGAAGTCACCACATTATGTTTGCAAGCTTGACAAGGCACTCTATGGTTTAAAACAAGCACCCAGAGCATGGTACTCCAGATTGAGCTTACAGTTGAAATATCTTGGTTTCATTGCCTCCAAAGCTGATACATCTTTGTTTATCTATAACAAGGCTGGAGTAGTCATTTTTGTGCTTATATATGTTGATGATATCATAGTTGCAAGTTCTTCACAAAATGCTACTAATGCACTTCTGCATGATTTGAGCTCAGAGTTTGCCTTGAAAGACCTAGGTGATTTGCATTTCTTCCTAGGCATTGAGGTCAAGAAAACTCAAGATGAAATTGTGTTAAATCAGGAGAAATATATCTTTGAGCTTCTGTCTCGCATGGGATGAAGAATTGCAAGCCAGTTCCTACACCTTTGTCTTCCTCAGAAAAACTTTCAGCATATGAAGGTGTGCCACTTCAGGAGGAGGAAAGTACAAGGTATAGGAGTACTGTGGGAGCATTACAATATTTAACTCTCACACGTCCAGATATCTCATTTGCTGTCAACAAGGTTTGTCAATATCTGCATGCACCTACTTCTACACAGTGGTCAGCTGTCAAGAGAATTGTGAGATATGTAAAGCATACTATGGGAATAGGACTCCATTTCAAACGGTCTAATTCCTCTCTTGTGAGTGCATTCTCTGATGCTGACTGGACAGGATGCAGTGATGACAAAAGATCAACTGGAGGCTTTGCAGTATTTTTTGGGTCTAACCTTATTTCTTGGAGTGCTAGAAAGCAAGCCACCGTGTCACGGTCAAGCACAGAAGCTGAATATAAGTCCTTGACAAATGCAACTGCAGAAATCATTTGGGTTGAATCACTTCTTGAGGAATTGGGAATCAAGAAGAATCATATCTCATGTTTATGGTGTGATAACTTGGGAGCAACATATTTGTCTGCAAATCCTGTGTTTCATGCAATGACAAAGCACATCGAAATTGATTTTCACTTTGTGCGAGAAAGGGTTGCAGCCAAGAAACTTGAGATACGGTTTATTCCCTCCAAGGATCAAGTAGCAGACGGCTTTACAAAGGCATTGCCATCAAGACCATTTGAGGAGTTCAAGAGTAATCTTAATCTAGGATAGTTAAGATTAAGGGAGGGTGTTAGAGAATATGTTTCCGTAGCATCTCAAACTCCTTTCCTTCTCCTACTCAAACTCCTTGTAATCTTTCTTATACTTCAAGCTTGGCTTCGGCCGCATCAATATAAACAGAACCGTGGCTCCCCTCGGGGGAGTAGGAACGCTCATTATCTTTCAGCCAAGACTTTACTACTAGTTGGTCTTATGAACGATGGCCCAACATCCTGCTTATTCATATCAGTATACGGACGAAAGAGATAGCATAACTTTGCCATTAGTCATTACTCTTTCAGAAAACAAATCGAAGGTAGTGCATATTAGGTTGGATCAAGGGCATCTAGGGAAGGTTGTATCCGGAGCGGAGCAGACAAATAACGTGTTTGCGCCAATGAAATGACTCCAAAAAGCTGCCATGGATACACTAGTAATAATATTTTGCTAGACCAGTAGGTGAAGCGACAGCTACACATTTCATAGTGTAAGCACAAACCTTTTATTGACTCATGATAAGGTATTCGTATTTCATAAGTAGCCGTGGCACGAGATCTGAAGCAGAGTCTCCATTTTATTTTAATTTGGCGGCACCAAACCTCTTGCTGGCAGCCATTCATATAACTTCATCCCGTAATTTCTTTTTCGAGGGGAGGGCCCTGACCCAATGCCGCACCTCTCTTTATATACCCCCTCCTGCTGCACATCGCTCCACACACACACACGGACACACCTCTACGCACACTACTGCTATCTGCTGATTGCTATCTCTCTCACATCCCACATCAACCCGCTACGCCTTGGGTCACCTCAAGGCCTTCGAGACAGGGGGAGTTCCACGGCGGTATGTGCATCTTTCTCCATCTAATCCTTGTCTCGAATCATCGATCTTCAGCACGTTTACTCTGTTAGTGACTAGTAACCAATGTACGTATTTGCAAATTGGGTTTCAGCCCGAGGATGGACACCGCCATAGGCGCGGCGAAGTGGGTGCTGGAGAAGGCGATGGCCCCTGTCACGGATGGCTTGCTGGATGGCTTCCCTGGGCAGCTAGCGCCAATCTCAATCGCAACATCGACGACCTCAAGATGGAGTTGCTGTATGCGCATGGGATGCTCGAGAACGCGCAGGGCAGGGGCATCCGTGGCCTCGCGCTCAAGGAGCTCCTGCACAAGTTGGAGCAGCTGGCATACGGAGCAGATGATGTGCTGGATGAGCCGGAGTACTTCCGCATCCAGGACGTCCTTAAAGGAACCTACCGTGCCGCCAACGTGAATGACGTGGGTTCCACCCAGGCCATCCGCATCAATGTTGAACACACGGCAAGACACGTCACCAGCAAACTCGTGGGTGCTGCTAGCCATGGCGATGACCAAGAAAGTGACCCTAGTGATCACCAAGAAAATGATGGCAATCAAGGATGCCTCTCTGGCGTACGCTTGTGTGGCAGGCGGGGCATCAGCTCCTCTCCACCGACGCCTGCCAACAAGGGGGGTGTCAAGAAGGTTGATAGCAGATGCATGCCCAAGGTCATCTCAAGTGCTCGCAACGCTGCCTACACATTCGGTAAACACTTTCCATGCTACTCTCCCATATCTGTCCACGATGATAATCCTCAAGCCCCTGTGATTGTTGAAAGAAAAAATGATGATCCTCAACCTATCATGTCCGAGCATGCAAGCCAAAGAGACTGTGATATAGAAACAATAGAATTGCCGTTCAATAGGGTGCAAATGTCTAAAACAATGGAGGATATGGTAAAGCAGCTGAAGGAAGTATGTGCTAAGGTCTCCATAATTCTCAATCTAGACTTTTTGGGCTACATCCATACCCGTACCAAAGAAATTGATATAAATAACAGATCCAAAACCACATCTGAGATTATAGAACCTCAGTTTTACGGGAGGGGTGACCAAAAGAGGAAAATTGTAGATGTCATTAATAGTCACGAGTATTCTTCCTGTCAACTTAACATGCTTCCAATTTTTGGAACGGGGGGTATTGGGAAAACAACTTTTACGCAACACATATGCCAAGAAGTGAAAAGCTCTTTCCAGGCTTCAATTTGGATATGTGTCTCTCTCGATTTCAGTGCAGATAGGTTGGCACAAGAGATAGTTCAGAAAATCGATAGAGTTGATGGTGACAAGGATAACGCAAGTGCCGAAGAACTTATCCAACAAAGATTAAAAGCTAAGAGGTTTTTACTCGTCTTGGATGATGTGTGGACATATCGAGAGGATGAGTGGAATAAACTAATAGCACCTTTCAAAAAGGTTGAATCCAAGGGTAATTTCATTATAGTCACAACTCGAATACCAAAGGTAGCAGAAATGGTTAGGACAACCAATCATCAAATAGAACTGGAAAGACTGGGTGATACAGATACCATGCGTTTCTTCGAAGCATGTGTATTTGGTAACGAGCTAGAACCATGGGGAGAACATCCTGCATTACTTAAAACTGGTCACGAAGTAGTGCACCGTTTGAAAGGTTCCCCTCTTGCAACCAAAACTGTAGGTAGATTACTACGAAACCAACTTACTTTGGACCATTGGAAAAGAGTTCTAGAAAGCAAAGAATGGGAACTAGAAACCAGTGAGAGTGACATCATGCCAGCCCTCAAACTTAGCTATGATTTTCTCCCTTTCCATTTAAAACAGTTGTTTGTATATTGTGCTTTGTTTCCGGAAGATTACGAATTTGATAGCAAGGAGTTAGTTCAGCTGTGGATAGGACTAGGTATTTTGCATCCATGTGACCAGAATAGAAGGACTGAAGATGTTGGACTAAACCATTTGCATGAGTTGGTCAATTACGGATTTTTCAAAAAAGACAAAAAAGAAGATGGTCGTTATTGTTATGTTATTCATGATCTATTGCATGAATTGGCCACCAAGGTATCGTCAGATGAATGTGTTAGCATATGTAGTTCTAATGTCAGGTCCATACACATCTCCCCATCTGTACGTCACTTATCCATAATTGTAGATGATAAAGATGTTGATGATAGAATCACTTTTGGCGACTATAAATATGATTTGAGTGCATTAGGTAAAAGATTAAAAGTTGAAAACCTACGTACCCTGATGTTGTTTGGGCGATACCATGGTAGCTTTGCCAAGACCTTTGGTGATCTGTTTAAAAAAGCTAAAGCCCTTCGTACTATTTTTCTATCTGGAGCATCATACTCTGTGGAGGACATTTTGCACAATTTTTCAGAAACCATCCATCTTCATTACCTAAGGATCGAGCCATTAGGTAACGCAGGAAACATCAACTTGCCTAATATGCTATACCGATTTTATCATCTAGAGATAATAAATCTTGAAAAATGGAAAGACCTTGTTTCAATTCGACATATCACCAACCTTGTAAAGCTGCGTCATTTTCTAGTGCCAAAAGGAGATCCCGATGGTCATTCTTACATATCTGAGGTGGGAAAACTTAAATTGCTTTCAGAATTAAGAAGGTTTGAGGTTGGAAAAGAAAATACTGGCTTCGAACTAAGTCAGCTAGAGCAATTAACAGAGCTTGGAGGGTCACTTAGTATTTATAATCTTGAAAAGGTGCAAGAAAGGGGGCACGGGGAAAGGAAATAATTATAAGACCAATACATAGGAACCACTTGCGTGAACTAACATTAGAGTGGGATATGGAAAGATCTAATAGGGAACCAACAAGAGAAGAAAATGTTCTTGAAAACCTTGTACCACATAGTGACCTTCGAGATCTGTGCATTAGAGGGCACGGAGGTACTAGTTGCCCAACATGGCTAGGTGAGAACCTCTTGGTCAGAAATTTGGAATCTCTTCACTTGGCTGACGTATCTTGGAAAACCTTTCCACCACTAGGAGAGTTCTGGTCGGTTCATGAGCCCCACGGTCAGTGCAAGGGTTGCATCGCAAGCCCAAGCTTTCAAAAAAATTGTCTAAAAAAACAAGGCTTTCAAAATTTGAAAAAGCTAGTGTTTATTAAGATACCAGAACTAACAAACTGGGCTGCAAATCAAACTTGTGGTTTCTTCTTCCATCTAGAAGTGCTCATTATTGAAGACTGCCCTGAACTTATAGAGTTGCCGTTTTCATGTTCTATTTGCTCTCAACCAGAGCAAGAAGTAGCAAACGTGACTTGGTTCTCTAGACTACGGGAGTTCAAGATTGTAAGATGCCCAAATCTGAGGACAATGCCTCCTATCCCTTGGACCAGTAGCCTATTCTCCACTGAGATAGCAGAAACAGGCTCAACTTTTGAGAAGCTCACTTACTCAAAAGGAAGGTACGAAAAACCGGGATTAAGTTTGGAAATTTGGGCAGCGGATGGTGCAGATAGCTTGTTTTGGAAAGCGTTGGCTTTCTGTAATTTGAGTGCACTACAAAGATTGTATCTATCCAATTGCCCTCCTTTGCCATTGAATATCATCCAAATGCTAACATGTCTGCAGTGCCTCACTATAAGTGGCTGTTCGAGTATTGTTTTGTCGCCAATCGGAGGCGAGAGCCATGTCAGATACGAGTTTCCATTGGAAGAACTCTGCATTTTTGATAGTGGTGCTAGTGGGAAAGAATTGAGTCAACTGCTCTCTCACTTCCCGAGGCTCACCACGCTGGAAATAGCTCATTGCGAAATGATAACAGAAGTTGGTGTGTCGGAGCAGCAGAGTGGATCACAGCAGCAGCATCAGAGAAAAGAAGAGGAGGAAATAGTGGCGACGGCAGAAGGAGGACTGCTGCTCTTGCCTACCCAACTACATAAGTTGAGCGTCCAAAATTGCAGTCAGCTGAGGATAGTCCCTAATTCTGGGGGCGACAACAACCAAGCAGCAGGAGGTCTCCAGCGTCTATGCTCCCTCCGCAAAGTGAGATTCGAGAAGTGCCCCAATTTGCTTTCCTCTTATTCGGGCTCCTCCTCGTCTTGTTTCCCTTTCCCGACCTCCCTGGAAAAACTCGACCTATGCAAGATTGAACAAGTCAATATGGCAATCACAAACCTATCCAGCCTCGAAGAACTCAAGCTGACCAACATGGATGCCCTCACAAATCTAAGCATCAGTCCTTCCTCAAAACTGCATACCCTAAACATACGAAGCTCCGCAGGAGTTCTGTCCGACTCCATATGCAGCCTCCTCTCTACCTCCCTCACCACATTGAACTTTTTTGGTAGCGAAGAGGTGGAGCCCATCCTAGGAGAGGCCCTCCTGCTTCTCACCTCCCTCCAAGAGCTCGTATTTGTTTACTGCGACAAATTGCAGTTCCTCCCTGCAGGTCTACATAAACTTGCCAGCATCAAGTACTTAGGTATCGCTGAATGCCCATCCCTCCAGTCGCTACCCAAGGACGGCCTCCCGAGTTCTTTGCAGCAATTAGAGATCACCAGCTGTTCCATGAAATCATTCCCCAAGGACAGCCTCCCGAGTTCTCTGCAGCAATTACATATCTCCCGTTGTTCTGAGCTCGAATTGCTTCCCACTTTTTCGGACAGCCTCCCGACTTCTCTGCAAAAATTAGAGATCTGGGATTGTCCTGCCATCAAATCGGTGCCCAAGGACGCCCTCCCGAGTTCTCTGCAGGAATTAGTGATCAGGATGTGTCCTGAAATCAAATCGCTACCGGAGGACGGCCTCCCCAAATCCCTGCGAGTACTAGATGTCAGTTACGGCAACAGCGAGGAGCTTAAAAGGCAGTGCCGCAGGTTAATAGGGGAAATTCCAATAATCATAGCCTGACAAATGCTTCCAAGGTAACAAACACATCTTTATCCTCTTCTCATTCTCAGTTCCTATTCACCAGTTTCTCTTCTCATTCAATTATTATTTTTTGGTTTGTAGGGATTACTATCGTTTCATCTGAACTGAATAACCCACTTGTTTTAATCTTCTGTACAGGGCTTTTCTTTCTCTTCTTGATTGGTACATCATCAGTCGTTCTTCTCAGGCTCATCAGTTTTTACTTTTTACCAGTGCAAGCACCAAGACTTTAGTCTGTATCATCCATCATGTGGGTAATCATCCCATAACTCCAATATTCTTTAACTGTATCTTGTCCCTAACTAACGTTGCTTTTTCCTGATCCCAGACATGTCAAACCATTTCTTTGCAGAGTCCCGCTTCGGTACAACCCCCCTCACAATACGTATAAAGGGTAATATAGACATTTCGCAATTTGTATCTATTTTTGTAGTAACGTATACACCAGGGAGCTTAATTGGGCCGGCCCACTTGCGGTGGCATGCGGATGAAAAATGGCGAAAAACGATCGCACAAGCCGGGAATCGAACCCACAACCACTCAAAACACTAAGTTCGTCCACAACCACTGCGACAGCATGCCTTTGGTTGATAATTTAAAGCTAGGCGCATTAAGTAAGTGACCGGCTGGGAATTTTAAAAAGATTTTACAAACACTTTCTGAACTGGTCATTTTTCCATAATTTCTTTTTATTTATTTACTTTCCTTTTCCTGTTACATTTCTTCTTTCTTGTTCAAGAAATGGTAATGCTTTCAAAATGTTGGCCAAAATTTCAAAAGGTTCGTTATTTCCAAATTTTATTCATAAATTAAAAATTATTTGCTTTTTTGAAAATTGTAAGGTAATTTCAAAAAATGTTTGTGTCTTTCACTTTTTTCAAAACGTCAAAATTCAAATACCTTTTTTGAAAAGCACAAACAAAATTATGAAAACAAACATTTTCTCAGAGCACGGACAAAAAATTAAATTCCAAAACATTTTTCAGATATGAGACTAAATACATGATATCAAAAAAGTGTTCTAAATTTGCCGGAACATTTTTTGAATTTGTGAATTTTTTTAAAAAATGAGATTTTTTTATTTCCCAACAAATTTCAATAGTCGCTTAACAGGAGCGATGTCGTCGCTTAGTTGGGCAAGGCCTAAGATTTTCTTTTCTATTCTATTTTTTGTTTTTCTCATTTTTTTGTTAATTTATCTTTTTTCCCTTTTAAACTTTTTTAAACCTGTACAAAACTTGAAATACAAATGTTACAGTTTAAAGTAACTAATTTAAATCATGATTTTAATTCTTTTTTTGTTTAATTTATTAAATGTTTTTAAAAAGCATTTGTTGTTTTCAATTCTATCATTTTGTATTTATTAGTTATGTTAGAAACTTAAAATGACAGTTTTAAGTATCTGTATAAATTATGATTTTAAATACATTTTTCCTTCAAACCTGGCATGGATGACTACTTGGGCATGCTACGTTGAACATGGTGTATCTTTTGGACATTCTTGAAATGAACTAAACATTTGCCAGCGGGTGGTATGCCCATGGTAGGCATCCATGCCTCCAATATTTTTTCAATGGCCTTGTATAACAAATTCAAGGCACCAATCCAAGTTGCATGGATTTTCGACAAGTTTTGCATTTTCTAAAGTTTTCTCGGTCAAAAAAGGTCGATAAATGGCTAGACGTGTCGCAACTTGCATATGGTGTCGGAAGTAGTTCAAACCTTCCATGGATGCCTATGATGGGCATGTCCACCTAGTGGAAAAACGTTGCGGTAATTTCATGGATGTCCACGAAAATACCATATTCAATGGAGGGTGTTCGTGTTGCCAGAAGGGTCTGTCACAGAGCATGTTGTTTTTCGATATTCTTGAAATGGGCATAATTTTTTTCATGGCCTCGTATGACCAATTCAAGGCACCATGACAAGTTGTTTTGGTTTTTGACAAGTTTTGCATTTTTCTAGAGTTTTCTCAATAAGAAAATGCAAAAAAAAGGCTGGACGCGTCGCAACTTGCATACGGTGTCAGAAATTGTTCAAACATGGCATGGATGCCTAGAGGGGCATGCGCACCTGGTGGCAATATTCGGGATCATTTCAAGGATGAACAAAAATAGACTACATTGAACAAAGTATGTTCTAGGGCCAGGAGGCTCCGCCTAAGAGCTTGTTATTTTTTGACATTCTTAAAATTTTAAGGGCCTCATATGACCAATTCAAGGCATCATAAAAAGTTTTTTGGATTTTCGACAAGTTGTGCATTTACTAGAGTTTCCTCGGTGAAAAAATGACAATTAATGACAGCACATGTCGCAACGTGCATACAGTGTCAGAAATAATTCAAACCAGGTATGGATGCCTAACATGGGCATGCCCACTTGCTTGCAAAAGTTGGGGCAGTCCTGATATTTCCAAAGAAATATCATGTTCAATGGAGAGTGTTTGAATAGGCCAGAAGGATCTGTTTGGGAGCAACTCATTTCTCGACATCCTGTAAATGAATCCATTTTTTCATGGCCTTGTATTCAAGGCACCATGCCAAATTGTATGGGTTTTTGCCAAGTTTTGTCTTTTTTGGAGTTTTCTCAGTGAAAAAATCCTATTAATGGCAAAACATGTCAAAACGTGCATACGATGTCGGAAGTCGTTCAAACCAGGCATGTATGCCTAAAATGGACATGCCGACTTGCTTGCAAAAGTTGGGGCATGTGCTAAGATCTCCGAAGAAATACCATGTTTAATGGAGAGTATTCAGATAGGCCAGAAGGGTATGTTTGGGAGCACCTCATTTCTCAACATCCCTTAAAGTGCTCCATTTCTCATGGCCTTGTATGACCAATTCAAGGCACCATGCCA